ACTAAGCAGCACTGGATATGCTCATTACATTGTTTCAGAGATGTACAAATTAGTTTTACTGCCCTCTATAAACGCCTATCTGTATAGTCATTTCGCAAATAAAGATGCCAAACTGTTTCTTTAACTCTAGATTACTTGGGGTTCTGGATATCGCAGGAGTTACTTCTGCTCGCTATGTCAACACCACCACTCAATACTCGAACAAGTTGGGCCTTCCTCAGACTACCTAACATTATAAACACTCTAGAATTGTGCTTAAAATAAGAAAGGGAGGAAAGAAAAGCAATTTTAAGAATGGCTGCACCACACGCTCTTTCTAGCCAGTAGCTCCAACATCAGTGCAACTCTTACTGCAGCCAAAATCCTGTGAACTAGTCAGAAGCTCTCAGAGACCCACAGCTTCCTAACTCAGCTATGTGAGCTCAAAACAAATCACTAACAACTGTAACATGTGATAATGGAAAAACAGAGCACATCACTTCTATTGCTACTGTTCATCCTGTTGGCCAAAAACAGGTATATAATTAAGCAGAGCAGAACAGACACGTGTATATTAAGGGAGCTTTAGAAATGTAAAACAGCGGCTAACACCTCACTTCCAACAAAGCACTATGCTATGAGACAATCCCTGCTATATAGTCTGCCCTGAGGAGGGGAAGGAAGTAGAATTCTTCTCTTCCCCTCCCCTCTCAAGTTAGCTTTAAAAACTGCATCCATCTCTGACACAAAATCAAAACAAACAAGACGCACACAGAAATTACTGCTAGTACTCCTGCTCATTCCTCCTCTTCAACAGAGTTACACCAAGAGAATTACCTTCCTTCTCAAGATACATACACAGCTCACTGAAAAGAAAATCCAATTATCCGAAACGTTACCCTCTCCAAGTTAAGCCTTGGCACAACAATTACATTAACACACTAGAAAGCGTTCAATGTATAAGGCACAAGCTAACAAAACACTCTCTAGTTTCAGTGAAAAATAAAGTTAACTATTCTTTCAGTACCTTTTTATGACCAGTAACTTAGTGGATGTCAAGTCACAGACTCAGTTGCTACGACAAATAGATATGCCTCTACCTAACTTGTAAACAGCAAAGAGCACACTCAGATTGACACAAGCCAACGGTATTTAAAAAACAAACTTGCATCACTCGTACCGGTAAGTCCACGCTGACATCTGTTCCATCCAGCAGTGCTACTCGGCAAGTAATGATGGATTTTGCATCCCCAGCTGCAGGGATGTGGGTTGCAGCTCTTTGGGCCTCTCTTAGCCGCTCCTTCTCCGCATGCTTACGCATAGACCGCCGTCCAAGGGTTCGACGGAAAAAGCTCAGCATCTTTGCTATGAAATCCAAGACAGAAAAAGAACATGTTAATGTTAGTTTGTCACAGAAAAAAAGAAAAGTAATAGCCCGCATTTAAAGTTCTTAGAAAATGCCAGACTTTGATAAAGAACTGTTAGACTCAAACAGACCTTTCACTTCTTTAGATTTAGGTACGCACAGTCTTTGGTTACTTTGAAAAACACTCAGCTCAAACCTTTGACAGTAGTTGCAGGGATTTTTGGGACAATCTGAAAGTACGTTAGGGAAAAAACAGCCATCGTGCAGATCCCATACAATTAATCGCAATCTTTCATTAATACAAATGCTACTGCGCTCTTCATCGACATGGTGATGTTCTCTCAAAGCTGGAAAGCAACTAAGAACTATGTACCACCAGCTATTTTCTTGGCTGACATACTCCATCTCTCTCATCGAAAAAAAGTTATAAACTACCCTCCCCGCCCCAGAACTTCGCTTACAGACCAGGTGCTGAGCCTCTCAAGGAAAGGCTTTGCACAGGCAGGCGAGCGCCTCATGGGCACGG